GCCACCAGACCTGCCATTCTGACCTCACTATGTTGGTGCTACATGGATCAGGAGGCTCCCTGAAACCGTTCCCTTAACATCCAAGAGGATTCGGGTTTGGGCTTTTTGTTTTGTTGCAGTTGTGGTTTGGGGATTTTGTTTGTTTGTTTTGTTTCCTGCAGTCAGTTCCAAGTGGCAGCAGCAGCAACACGCTCTGCACTGGGCTACTGCAGTCACAGAAGTGGCATGCAGTCACTGAGGTAGCAAACACAGCTCAGGCATCTGTGCCTCCCCTGGGAGAGAGTAGACAATGACAAGCAGAAGGTCTCAGAGATGGATTTTTACCAGAGACTATCTCCTGGAATGTGCCAGCCTATGAGACCCATAACACCACAGCTCCATTTCTACCAATATACAAGCCACAGAAATTGCTGGCACCTACTTATGCCAGAATATTCTGCTGTCAGTCTTCTGACTATAAGCAGAAGCCATAAAGTCCCTCCAACAGCACTAACAAAAGTATAACCTAAACATCTTTGTTACTGTCTTTTAGTGAAATATTTCTAAGCACCAAAATAATTTTAAAATGGGACTTAATTCTGGTACATTTTACATACAGGTTGTTGAGAATTTTTATTTCTTTTGATCCCACAGTAAAAAAAAACCCATTAATCAGCAGAATATTCAGTAAATTATATCTGAACACTTCCATTAAGGACAACAGTACTGAAGAGAAGGCAAGGTTTGACCAAAATATTTCTCACTGCTAAGGATACTTGAAAGACTGTAGATGTAGTCTCAGAGCACAGTTTGAATTTATATCAGCTGATTAACTTAAATACATATATATATATATATATAAAAAATACTAAGATGTGATATATACAGAACCTACCACAAAAATCTCTGAGTCACTTACTAGCATACAAGTAGTCCTTGTCATATTAACAGCCAGAAGTACTGGCTTTTAAAAAACCTCTTAGCTAATGTAATGATATGAACTCTGAAAGTTCAGTTTCCTTTGCCAACTTTTCAGTTTTTTCATGACCTCTGACCTGCAGGGGAGACAAAGCTGATACACCAGGAGAAGGAAGCTTCACCTTCTTACTTAGAGAGAAGCCTGGTTAAAATATGTAACACCAGTGCCCCTGGACCTTAGAGCTATAAATACAAATAAATACACTTTAAGTAGTGTTGCAAAGGGATTCGTTGGTGTACTTCTGCTTTTTAAATTGATTTTTATAGGAATTCGATACTTGGTACAACAGAGATCCAAGAGAAATACCCCACGGAGCCAAGAGACAGCAGTTTTGCGCAAGTGCAGTGCTGCCCTCTCCTGGGGCGGATCAGAGCTGCGGCCGCACTGACACCAGCCAGCCGCCCCGGAGAGCTGCACCGCCGAGAATACCTGGGCTGCTTTGGGACATCCAGATTGGAAAGATACAAAAAAAGTTTAAAAAAGCAAGCCACACGCACGTCCGGAGTAAACGCAGGAAGTTACTGAGCATTATATGAGCTGTGGTAATTCATCGCCGTAAAAATGATACAGCAGTTCGTTCCTTCCTCCATGACCTGATGCAGGAGAACCAAAAAGTGATTTTCAGCCACAACAGCAGCCTGCGGGGCAGCAGAATATTCTGAGAACCAAGATAAAAAGTCAAACACCAACTTTCACATTCAAACACACCTAAAAGCTTTGACATTATTACCGCAGGGCTACTGCAGCTCATAATGCAAAGAGTAAGCATACGAAGTTAAGTAGGCTCTTAATGCAATTACTTTGATTTCGGTGGCATTAGAACATGAGTAAATTTTACTGTTGGATGAAATCCTGCTTTTGATTACCCTGCACAAGCCCAGGGTAATTCACAGGCCCAGGTACACCTCCCATTTACCAAAGATTAATGAGTTGCCTTATGTAAGCTAAGCTTTAACTGGCAGAATGCACACTTTTAGTCCCCAACAAGCATAAGATAAAATACACAGCTTAAGCCTCAGCACAAGGAGGGTTTAAGCAAACTAATTATAGTTTTCAGACGTGACTGCTAAGAATGAACACAGATTCAGGTACAGCAGCTCAGCTGAAAGGCAACTCACTAAACTGCAATAATCCTAAACCTACATTAAAACCATAAATTCTAATGTTATTAACAAAGTTTTGACTTTACAGAAGGTTTTAATGAAATTTGCAATTATACTTTAAATTTAACTAATAAACTAAGTAAATATAGCTTGAATATTTAGCATTTAATGGACTACATAGGTATAAAACCAGTTCCTCAGGTCAAATAAGTAGAAAAACAGCCGGAGCAAATGGAGGACACAACTCGATGGCAGAGTCCACTCTGCAGGCCAGGATGGCCTTGACCAGTCCAAAAACTAGCCCGAGAAGAGCAGCATTCAACTTAGACCAGCCCAAGCACAGACAATTCCACAAACCCTGACTGAAAACAACTGATCTCATAGCAGTTCTCAAACTGAAGCTCCCACATCCCTTTTGACCATAAGCTTCATGGAAGTTAAGACTGTTGTGCAACTGTAAAACATCATACAACTCTGAAACGCGAGTACAGCCTGAAACACACACTCAGCACTAGGAAGGCCTCAGCTGAGTAGTGGTATATCCAGTTTTTGGGAACATGCTTCAAAGGAAAGATGTATTCCCCATGGAAAGGGTCCAAAAAGGAAGCAAGAATGATCAAAGCTAGAAGTTGTCATCTGTAATAACCAAGTGAATTGGCATTCTTCAGTCACTCTTTCATCTAGAAAAAAAGACTCAAGTGGGACAGCATTACCAATTTTCAAATACGGTTGCAATGAACAAGGTAATAAATTGTTTTCTTTATCCATAGAAGGCAGAGGGAACAGCAGTAATGGTTTTAAATTGCAGCAATAAGCATTCAGGTAACACACCAGAAAAATCTTTTAGTGAAAAATAAAATAATCAGAATAAACTAAACCAAAAGGCTTTAAGAAGAGGTTAGACAACCAATTGCTAAGGAACAATAAAGAGGTGGTGTATTTTATTTCTATATTTTATTTAATACATACACAGAAAAACCAGTGATCTCTGAAATAACTTCCAGTCTGTTCTTGTCTATGAATTTCCATAGTAAGTATATGCAACACAAGTGAGAAGACGAATCATTTAACATACTTTTTCCCCGATGGTAATGCTATTTCAGTGGGGACAAACCCACAGCTTACAAGCAGCATATTGGTCACGGAACCTGAAACATTGCCCACTGGCATCAGAAATTAAAAAAGATTAAACAAAGTCAACAAAAGAAGCAGAGTATAAAATTACTTATTAGACATTCTGAATTACTACACACAAGCCAGCAAACAGGAAAAAAAACCAAAACATTCCCTACAACCCTGCCCATAGGTGTATCAGCATCAAATATACATACAGATCACCAAGTACAACTCCCATATAAACCAGCATTTTGATTTTGAATCCAGTCTACGCCAGTGATGGTATGAACAGTTCACAGCAAGGGCTGCTCTTGCAGCTTTCTACAGGCACTTTTACTCTTCTGTTACTGTATTAAAATTCTAAATTATCTTGTGGAAACTAAAGATTAGTATCACTAAACCACTAAGAGAAGCAGGTCTAATCAATGAAAAACGCTTTAGAATTAGGTCATTCTGGTGGTCTGCCTCATAAAGACAAAGAAACAGAGTTCACAGACTATACAAGCTGCAGGTGAATGCTCCAGCTGTTCATACTTTTAAAGACATACTTTCATGGGCTGTATTTAACTCTATGCATTTTGAACTTAAAACACACACCAAGTGTTTTGAGTGAAAGACAGAACAAAAAACTATCTCCCCACTATTACTCTCCTGCCAAATAACCCTGGCCAATTTGTGTAAGGTCTAAACATTCAGAGGAACAAGTAGAAAACTGTTGCCTATTTTCCCAGTACTGGTGTTTTCTTACTTAAAGTTCTTTAAGTGACAAAAAAAACCCCTAACTTATCAGAAGGAAAAAGGCTAAACCCCTGATTTTCCACATTTTTTTGTGAACTATAGCTTATGTTTTGATGTAACTTTAATCATCCTTAGATGAATAAACATTTTTACCATACTGTTGTTTGGGGTTTTTTTTTAACTCCTAGATGATGTATAAGCAGGAAGGGGAGGAGTAAAGCCACTGTACAAAATGAGCTTAAGGACACCTTCAGTAAAAAATTAATAAGAGAAATGATTTCTTACAGTAACTGCTAATAGATGGCAGTTACCACTACATCCTTTTGTTGCTCTTCCAGCTTTTGCTGACTACCTGAGGAGTGCTGAGCTCTTCCTGCTGCTGATTACTGCAGCCCCGAGTTTTTTTTCTCCCACCTAGTCTAGTACTAATGCTCAGTAGCACCCATCTGTCGCCCAGCAGCAGAAGGCTCAAACTTTAAGCATCAAGAGGCCTCAGGTGGAAGGGTCACTTTAGAGCCACCACTCTCTTTTCTAAATCCTTGAGAAGCTTAGAGAGGTTGTAACAGCTTCGAGCTCCCCAAAGCATGGCCTTTATCCTGCTAGGGACGCAGAGAAGGAAGCAGCGGTGCCCTTCCAGTGACCTCACCCCTCAGAAACACACCTCCCTGCCTCCTTCCTTTCTGCCTTCAACGCCAACTCGCGGAGGAAGCCAGTGCTTCCCCTCGCAAAGCTCAGCTGCTGACCCGCCCCGCTCCCTGCCCGCGCCGCCGGGGGACTCCCCCCCACAGCCCGACCCACAGCGGCGGCAAGGCCTCGCCAGCTCATCCCCTCACCGCAGAGCTCCCGCCAGCCATAAGCGAGGCACAACGCTACCCCACACACAGAAACACGCCCCTAGGCGCTGGCCTGCAGCTCCTTCCAGGCTCCCACACGCACCCCCGGCCCTCAGCCACCCGAATGCTGCCGCCCCCCGCCGCGATAAACATCCTCTCGCTACCAAAAACACCCGCCCCAGTCTCCCCCGCTCCG